GAGAGAAGAAAAGAAAGTAAAAAGGCTTGGAAAAGCAGCAGAATATTTGAACTGCAAACTTTTGAACTAACTTGATGGTGAATGATCTGTCGCCATGCCAACGGCATTTGATGACATCCCATAATACGCTTAGATGTGTGGATGGCTGCATCGTTACCAAACCTGTGAAGTTTTGGGCTGTTTGGAGCATTTTCACTGAAGTTATGAGAAAACCGTGTTTCATGGCAAGCCTTGTGTTACCATGGCAACGGCATTTGAAGAAACCCCATAATTGACGTAGAGCTGTTGAGGGCTGTACCGGTGATATACAAGCGAAGTTTGGAGGACGATCGGACCGTGTCCATTGGACGTACAGCGACATCGTGCTTCATGGCGAGTGGTCTGTCGCCATGGCAACGGCATTTGATGACACCCCATAATACGGTTAGATGCGTTGATGGCTGCATCGTTACCAAACCTGTGAAGTTTTGGGCCGTTTGGAGCATTTTCACTGAAGTTATGAGAAAACCGTGTTTCATGGCGAGCATTGTGTTGCCATGGCAACGGCATTTGAAGAAACCCCATAATTGACGTAGAGCTGTTGAGGGCTGGACCGGTGATATACAAGCGAAGTTTGGGGGACGATCGGACCGTGTCCATTGGACTTACAGCGACATCGTGCTTCATGGCGAGTGGTCTGTCGCCATGGCAACGGCATTTGATGAAACCCCATAATACGGTTAGATGCGTTGATGGCTGCATCGTTACCAAACCTGTGAAGTTTTGGGCCGTTTCGAACATTGTGTGAGAGAGAGAGAGAGAGAGAGAGAGAGAGAGAGAGAGAGAGAGAGAGAGAGAGAGAGAGAGAGAGAGAGAGAGAGAGAGAGAGAGAGAGAGAGAGAGAGAGAGAGAGAGATTTTTTTTTGATTTTTAAAAAACACTTTTATTTAGATTTTCACCAAACAATTAAAACTATTTTCTTATATACATTGAGAGAAGAATTCCCCTTTTTTCCTCACACAAAAACAGTTAAAAGCAAGCTCCTCCCCCACCACCGAGCACACAGCTGTAGTGAAACACCACCGGTTTAAAAACTCTTCCATACTTTTCATCAGACAGTGAAATCTAAAATCTACTCTCACTCGTGCCTTTACCAAAGATAAAAACATGTTAGTGAGTTGCTGACCTGCTGTACTGTTCACTTTGTTCTTCCTGCTTTTGTAAATTGATATTTTTGCCTGCCCCACAATAAAATTCAACAGTTCCCACTTCCCTGCATTCTGTTTCTTGTAGCCAGCACCAAAAATAAAAGCAGTCTCTGTAAAAACCTCCCCACAGTCTAAAAACACAGTTTTTAAAACATTAAAAAGAGGCTTCAGTCTGTGACAGTCCAGGTAGCAGTGAGTGATCGTCTCTCTGTCGGTGCAGAACGGACACTCGGAGGACACGGTGGGGTTTATTTTCGACACAAAGGCGTTAACGCCCAGGGCCCCGTGGAGGATCCTCCACTGCAGGTCTCCAGACCGCTTGTTCAGTGGAGGTTTGTAGAAGAGCCTCCATACAGGTTCACAGCCCCCCGGGACGTTAAGCCTCTGTTTCCACACCGTGTCTCTCCTCTCACTTAGTTTCTGTTTGTTCAGGGCCAGAGTGCAGAGTCTATAAAAACCTTTTCCATTCTGCATGTGAATGTCTGAATGAGTTCTGGGTTCTAGTCCATCCTGGTCTGCTAAAATCCCAATGTCTGGAAAAGGGTCCCCTTCGTCAGGGGTTTCCTTCCTGTTAGAATACTCCCGCAGCATCTCCATCTCATCGTCAGTTAGCCTTTTAGTCCACTCGTTCAGGATGGTTCTGGTGTGGCGGGCCGACTTCAGGCCGAGCAGAGAGGCCACGGCCTCGGTGTTGTGGAGTCCAGGACCTGCAGCATCCACGATGTTCCTCAGCTTCACGACCCCAACGGACCGAAGTCTCTCAGTAAGTGCAGGTCTGCTGCTGTCCTGGACATCCAGCCGGGCCCCCCACACCAGAGGCTCTTCCAGGAGCCAGAACAGAGATGCTGCGGGACCCACTCTGGCCCATTTAAAAAGTGTCCATACTTTAAAAAGTCCTTTGTAAAACGGAGGCAAAACACACACACGAGTAAAATCACAGTTTGTTAAAAACAATGACGCATCCAAACCCAGGCCTGCTACCCCCCTTAAAATGGTGCTGGCTACCGGCCTCCAGACGACATCGACATCGTTTCCTGTCAGGTATCTTTGTAAAAACTGTAGTTTAAAAGCAGCTGCTCAACTCTCTAGGTGCACCAACCCTTGCCCCCCCTCTTCCTTTGGTAGGTACAGCATGCATTGAGGAACCCAGTGCAACTTATCCCAAAAGAAATTTAAAATAATAATTTGCAACTTATTTAAAAGACCAGCAGGGGGTTCCACACACTTGAGTTTATGCCAGAGGCTGGATGCTATCAGGTTGTTGATGACCAGCACCCTGCCTCTGTAGGACATGTGGGGAAGTAACCAACGGCACTTGTTTAGTTTCCCCTCCACCTTTTCTAGAACTCCTTCCCAGTTTTTCCCCAGTGTGCCCTCATCTCCAAGATGGACCCCCAAATACTTGATGCCACCCCTCTTCCAAGTCAACCCACCTGGGAGTTGAGGGAGGCCACCAGTCCACTCCCCCACTGCTAGGGCCTCACTTTTGGCCCAGTTGACCTTTGCAGAGGAGAGCTTTTGAAAAGTATCTACTACCTGCCCTAGCTTTAAAACATCCTGTTGATTTTTTATAAAAACAATTATGTCGTCTGCATAGGCCGATAAAATAAAACGTGTATCAAAACCAGGTAAAAACAGGCCCTCATTAAAAGAGCGGATATTGTGTAGCATGGGCTCTATTGCTAGTGTGTACAACATACCTGACATCGAGCAGCCTTGTCTTATCCCCCTGGTCACATTAAAGGGTCTAGACAGACCGCCATTTATCTTAAGCACACTCTCAATGTTCACATACATCACCTTTATCATGGCGATGAAGCCCGGGCTGAGGCCGAACCTCTCCAACACCTTCCACAGGTAACGGTGCTCAACCCGGTCGAAAGCCTTTTCCTGGTCCAATGAAACCAGACCAGTGTCGAAACCCAATGAACCAGAGACTTCCAAAATATCTCGAATTAGTGACACATTGTCAACAATTGACCTGCCGGGCACACAGTAGGTCTGGGTCCGGTCTACCACCTGGTCCATCACCTTCCTCAGCCTGGAGGACAGGGCCCTGGACAGCAGCTTGTAGTCGGTGCACAGCAGAGAGACGGGCCTCCAGTTCTTTATTTCTTGTAGGTCACCTTTTTTCGGAAGGAGGGTTAAAACAGCTCTTCTGCAGCTCAGAGGGAGTAAAGAGTCATTAAAACTTTCATTAAAAAGGTCCATTAGATCCTCTTTTAAAAAGTCCCAAAATGTCTTGTAAAACTCTGGGGGGAGGCCATCTATTCCAGGGGCCTTCCCCCCCTGCATGCTCTTGAGTGCTGCACACAGTTCCTCCTCAGTCAGGGGCCCGTCCAGCTCTTTTTTCGTCTCTTCAGAGACTGTTGGTAGGCCCCTGCAGAACAGATTAAAACCTCCCTCATCTTCGGTGTACTGACTGGTGAAGAGGTCGCAGTAGAAGTCCACCGCTCTCTGCCGGATCTGGCTGTTTCCTGTCAGCTGCTGCCCTCCTGCTGACTTCAGAGCGTGGATCAGCCTGCCCTGCCCGTTCTTCTTCTCCAGACTGAAGAAGTATTTTGTTGGTGAAACCATCAGGGAAGCGCTCTGGAATCGGGACCGGACCAGCGCCCCCTGTGCTCTGGAACCCAGCAGATCTGCCAAAATGGCTTTTTTAGATTTTAGGTCTTCAATACAACCTGGATTTCCTGTGGACTCTGCATAGCTCTGCAGTTCCACTATTTCCATCTCCAGATCTCTCATAGACTTGGTGATGTCACGAGAAACATTGAGAGTGTACTGAAGACAAAGCTGCTTGATGTCGGCTTTCCCACAATCCCACCACTGCTTCAATGAGTTAAAATCCCCCTTCCTTTCTCTAAAACCTTTCCAAAAATAAATAAAAACCTCTCTAAAATGTGTATCTAAAAGCAGAGCAGTGTTAAAATGCCAATACGCAGATTTTCTTTTTATGTTGGCAATAAAAACATCACACAATACAAGGGAGTGGTCAGAGAAACCAACAGGCAATATAGCACACTTTTTAAAAACATTCAAATGGTGCTTAAAACAGTAAAACCTGTCTAGCCTAGCCATTGATAAAAGGTTCTCCCTAGAGTGGACCCATGTGTACTGTCTGTGATGTGTGTGATGCTCTCTCCATATGTCTGATAGGCTATGTGTTGCTATTAACTGTGTCATGGCTCTTTTGGATGCAGCATGAGGTTCCCTATGGTTCCTATCTAACTCGTCGTTCTGTGTGCAGTTAAAATCTCCCCCTAAAAATAAAAACTCTTCTGGTTCACACTCACTTAAAACAGCGCTGAGCTCGTTTAAAAACTGAACTCTGGCAGGACCTGAATTAGGAGCGTATACATTGATAAAAACCAGATTAAAAAGCTCAAAGTTAGCTCTCACCACCAACAGTCTGCCCTTTATTCTTTCCTCCACTGTGTGGGACTTGGGGATAAAATCTTTAGCAAACAGGACTGCCACTCCTGCACTGGTGCTGCTAAGACCACTTAAAACCACCTCCCCATCCCACTCCCTCCTCCAGTCTGTCCCGTTTAAAGTGTCGCTGTGCGTTTCTTGTAGCATTGCTACATTGACCTTTTTTATTTTTAAAAGCTCATAAACACAAGCCCTCTTCCCCACATCCCTAGCTCCATTGACATTTAAAGTGCAGACTTTAAAATCACTCATTAAAAAGGATGTGAGGAGAGACACACCGCTTAAAAACAACACGTATGTAAAACCCAGCATACTAAGTGCCGTACATGTTATTTTCCTCTTCATTTAAAATCTCTTTCTGTATCTTCATTTTCAGGACCTTCAAACGAAAACATTCCCTTTCAGTGAAGAGATGCATCTGAGCTTTTACAGACTGTACAAACAAGCTCTTGTCTGTAAAAAAACTCTTCTATTTTTACTCGTCTCTTGTTTTTAGTTTTTCTAAGAAATTCTTTAATTTGCTCCACTTTAAAAAATGGACTTTCCAATTGTGAGTCGGTGAGAGGCTGACTGGCCTCAGCACAGTCCTCTTCATCCTCATCCTCTTCATCCTCCATCAAATCTTCCTCACTTTCCTCCTCCTCTGCCTCCTTCACCTCCTCTTCCTCCACCACCATTTCCTCCTCTTTCTCCCCCTCCTCACTCACTGCCACTTTCTTGGCCTGAGAGCTATTTTCTTTCTCTTTTTGTTTTCTTTTTTTTGTAGAAACTTGAGCTTCCATGTTTTTTTTTAATGCAGCAGATGCAGAGAGTTCTGCCGTTTCCACTCTTTTTTTAGGGACGACCTTTTGTCCCACATCAACACAAAGGTCGCTTTTTTTATTATTTTCCCCATTAATCTTTTTTTCCCCAAAATTTTCCTCAACCTGCTCCGGGGGCTTTGAGGGACTCTCAGCCCGCGTTGGGGGCTTTGAGGAACCCTCACCCTGCTTTGGGGGCTTTGAGGAACCCTCACCCTGCTTTGGGGGCTTTGAGGGACTCTCAGCCCGCTCTGGGGGCTTTGAGGAACCCTCACCCTGCTTTGGGGGCTTTGAGGGACTCTCAGCCCGCTTTGGGGGCTTTGAGGAACCCTCACCCTGCTCCGGGGGCCGCTCAGTGGGGTTTCCCGCTGCAGTCATTACATCAGGAGTCTCTTCTGGAGTTTTCTCCTGTTTTTCATTTTTTTCCTCCTCCCCCTGTTTTTCATTTTTTTCCTCCTCCCCCTGTTTTTTATTTTTCCCCGGACACGCTCTGGCCAAATGCCCCTCCTCCCCGCATCCGAAGCACTTGGCAGTCCCCGAGTTTACAAACAAAACATAATTAAAATCATCCATTCTCAGACTTAGCACCAGATTGAGTTCCTCGTCTCTCTTATTGAGGATCATGAGGACACTTCTCCTGTGAGACACAACATGTTTTAGCAGTGGAGATCTGCAGCCCGAGGACAGCTTCCTGATGGAGGACACTATCTTCCCGTGCTTAGACAGCTCTCTCACCAGGAAGTCATCCCGTATGAACGGCGGGATATTTGAGACTGTTACCCTTGTAGCAGGAGTGGTTAGTGGAGACACGGAAATGAACGTGTCGTTAACAACGATCCCGGTCTCCACCACCTTGTTCGCTTTATCCTCTGTGTCCACAAATATCACCACCCCCGCCGTTCATCCGAGCCGCAGATCTGATGCTGCTGTGCCCCACTAAGGCCCCCACAGCCAGGCTGCACTCCTCCACCGAGCACGGTGTCATCGGAGAAATTTTAAAACCATGTTTGCGGCTCAGCCGGGCATAATCCATGCCGCAGCTGCGTCACAAACACACACACACACAAACAAACCACACACGCCCAAACCACTAGAAAACACCAACAATAAAACGTTTAAACCATGTACACAATACACACAACTTACAACATAAAACAATAAATATGTTAGTAGAAAAACGTGTGAAAAAGTTAGTAACTCACTCACTCACAGACCGTTCCTCACTCACTCACTCACTCGAGAGAGAGAGAGGAGAGAGGAGGGAGAGAGAGAGAGAGAGAGAGAGAGAGAAGAGAAGAGAGAGATAGAGATAGTAGAGAGAGAGCCGATATTAAGCAGAGAGATGACGCTCTTTAAAAAGAGAGATAGAGTATAGATAGAGACCTTCCCACACTTTGAAAACCCCTGCTCTAGATAGTAGTCCCTCAAAACACCTCTGTCATCTCTCCTTTTTTAAAATCACATCTAAAATCACGTCTATTCACACTGGCATATCCCCCCTGATCACATGACACGTCCTCTGCATAGAGAGGAAGAGGAAGATAGAGAGGAAGAGGAAGATGGAGAGAGGAAGATATTGAGGAAGAGGAAGATAGAGGAAGATATTGAGGAAGAGGAAGATAGAGAGAGAGAGAGAGAGAGAGAGAGAGAGAGAATGAAATGAACAGTTAGAACTGACTCTTGATTGCTCTCTCTCTCTTCTCTTGAACGGCATATGATGACACCTCATAATTGACGTAGAGCTGTTGAGGGCACGACCATTAACCATTATCTGAAGTCTGCTGCTCTGAGCATGTCAGTTGGTGTGATGACATCATCGTGTTCCATTACACAGGTGTTTATAGTTGAGCTAACGAGCTCTGTCGAGATCAAAGGTTTGCATTGTTCTGAATGAGAGATAAACCTCTTACATGTGAACGTTTTGTGGAAGAACGATAACAGATATCTGTGAAATTTCAAAACGTGAAGCATGTCAAGGAAGTTGAGTATCTGAAGTGTAATTTCTGTGTACTTTCGGGTTAATAATGTGGCCTTTTTGGCAGTTTAACTAAAGGTGTGCGGCTGCTGCTGTGAGGAAATATCAGCCTGAAATTACAATGGGTTTTAATGGAGACATGTTGAACGTTTTTGTCACTTCATGCCCTCAAGAGGCATTTTGTTTTATTATTTTGCTTAATTATTTGTCATTTTTCAAGCTACGAGATGTTTTCTTACGTTTGTCATGAAAGATGATGTCTCAGGAATGTAGGGTTTGGGATTTATGGCAGTTTAAAAAAAAAATATGAAGGCAAATTTCAAGATTTGCTCCACTCTAGCTGTGACATCACGCACTCTAGTTAATGTTAAAATCTGAAGAAAACCTCTTTAACAAGGTCTGAACAATGTTTAATGTCTCTAAAAGTAAGAATCAGATTTAAAAGTTGTGTTACACGAATAATGTCAGAAAGATGTGCAACATTTTAAAGTTGGAATGAGGTTTCTGAGTGAAAGTATGAATGAACAGTTAGCAGTTGAAGTCGCATGAAGATTTGTTGAAGTCTGAAGAATGTCTCCATTGACTTCCATGTTAGAAATTGGATGAATTATGGGATGTATCTCTGGAATTATGAAAGTTATGAATGATAAAAGTAATAGCCTGCGATTCCCGACCGAGTTGAACGTTTTGATGTTTGAACGGAGTTTCTGCGATGTTGAATGTGGGAGGAGAATAGGGCCAAAATAAGTCGGCGGAATAATAAAAATGTTGTCCGTAGCATAACATATAGTTGGAATGCTGTATCAGCATTCCCACTAAATTAAAGGATGTATGGTGCACCTTTTGCTCCACTATGATATATAAAGCAGAAAGTAGCTTTGCTTGTAATCCACAGAGAGATAATCCAAAGAGAAGAACATGATGGATAACATAAAATAGCAATAACAGAGGTACTTCCATCTCTCAACACAGTGAAGCTGAGTTATTTACAAATGAAGATAATATTTCCTGTGGTATTCAATGGTTCATCAAGGTAGTAACAGTCTTCCTCTGAAAGTGCTCCTGTACGTTACATCACTTATTGGAGAGTGTGATGCCCCTGTGGGTTCATCATTGGAGAGGGTGTGGCTGTCCTGTCTGTGCTGCATTGATTGCATTGATTGCAGTAACTCAGGGCACCTGGGTCTGGTGCCCTGCAGCTATTTAAAGCCTCTCTGTTCTCTCTCTGCTTTTCCCTGCAGGCACCCGGCTCTGTTGAGTATGGTAAACTGGTTGATCTGAATTATTTGTACAAATAAACATATTTTGCTACCCGTTGACATGGTGTGTCTCCTCTTTGTTGTGGCCTTTTGAACCAGGTCATAACAAATGGGGGCTCGTCCTACGGGTTATTTGTGGAAAGTTTGGTTAAAAGTTTGTGTAGTACTCCGAGCATATGGTGTCATTGAGCAGCTGATTAGTTGATGTGGTCCAGCTGTGTGCTGGCTTGGTTTTTTTTTTTCATAGTGTTGTGGCGACGTGGTTAGTGTCAGCTGTTTTCGGACAGCTGTCTCGGGGGCACGTCCGCGTGATTTTGTGGTGTTGCCTGCGTGCAGGTCGCTCCATAACTCTGCCGGGTTCCAGTGCGTAATTACCCGCCGCAAGCCACATGAAGACTAGGTGAGATTATTAAGATTTTGGTTAGGCAGTGAGGGGGTTTGTCTTTTGCCCATGCGTGTTGGCAGGTTAATACTTTGCTTTCTGATTGGTTATAGTATATTATGGCTTCTTTGTCGGCGTTTGTGGATGCGCCGTCAGTGTCTTTCTTAGATGATTGCCAGAAGGCGCAGTTGGTCGAAATAGCAGGGCATTATAAAATTGCTGTTGTAGGGAGCAAGTGGAAATATGGGATTAAAGCTGTCATCTAATCTTTGTTTGAGCAGGGGGTGTTGCAGAAGAGTGAGTTTGGTGCGGCAGGGGTCGTGCCGGTAGTGGTTCAGACAGCTGGTTTGACGTTCGAGCAGCAAAAAGAGCTTTTGGCCATGCAGTTTGAGCAGGAGAAATTGAGGTTGGAGCAGGAGAAGTTGGAGTTGAGGTTGGAGCAGGATAAATTGAGGTTGGAGCAGGAGAAGTTGCAGTTGGAGTTGAGGTTACGGCAGCAGGAGATAGAGAAGCGTTTAGAGGTGGAGAAGGTGCTGGAGGTGGAAAAGATGAAATGTGAGGTGGAACATGCTAGATTACGGCTGATTGGAGAGGGCAAGCTTTCATCTGATGGTTCGGCATCAGGTAGTGGCGATGTTATTTCTGACTTGCGGTTGGTGCCAAAGTTTAATGAGCGTGACCCTGAATTATTTTTTTACCCTATTTGAACGCGTAGCTGCGGCAAGAAACTGGTCAGCTTCGGACAGGGTGCTGTTACTTCAGTGTGTACTCACTGGACAGGAGGCCTATTCAGCTATTTGTGGCGAAAATGCTTTGGACTATGCTAGAGTAAAATCAGCGGTGTCAAAAATCATACGAACTGGTTCCTGAAGCGTATCGTCAAAAATTCAGAAGTTGGGTCAAGGGGGATAAGCAGACAAATGTGGTGATTTGACTTCTCATTTTCAGCGGTGGTGCGCGGCAGCAAAGGTTGCCAGTTTTGACGGTCTTTGTGAACTCATTGTATTGGAACAGTTTAAAGATGTTATCCCTCAGCGTGTGGCTACTTATGTAAATGAGCAGAAGCCTTCCACTGCGCTCAGAGCTGCCGAATTAGCGGATGATTTTGTCATAAGGGCAGTTTTACAGAGAATTGTTCTAGGGGTGATTGGAGACGTGGAGAAGATGGTGGCTATTCCCGCGGTGGTGCAAAGTTCTCACCAGGCTCCTCCCGTAGATTTGCAGGTCCGGGGCAACCCGAGGGCGCCAGAGTGGGCCAATGTAATTATTGCCGAGTAGAGGGTCATTGGAAGGATCAGTGTCCGTTGCTGGAACCTGAGGGGAAGCCTTGTTTTTCATCACATTTTCTCTGCCATTTTGGTTAATAAGCCGTTGGGTGTGGGCTCGGGCATGGCGCCTGATAAGAAGCCGGTTTGTGCCGACCTGGATGTGGGTTCTGGTTTTGAGCCGTTCATCACGGAAGCCGTTGTATCAGTAGTCGGTAGTGACAAGTATGTTCCGATTAAGGTGTTGCGTGACACAGCAGCTAGATACTCATTTATTGTTGAGTCAGTGTTGCCTTTTTTATCGGAAACGGAGATGGGGGATTTTGTACTGATGAGTGGCATGGAGATGGGCTTGATTCCTGTGTCACGTCATGCAATAGTGCTGGTGCGGGGAGTTGTGTCTATCGGCGTGCGTCCCGCATTGCCACTTGATGGGGTACATATGATTTTGGGCAACGATCTCGCTGGTAGTGCTGTGTGGGCTGGTGTGCCACCGCCTGTGGTTGTTTCCAGGCCGTTGGCGTCTGGGGAGCAGGATGAGAGCGGTTTGCAGTTTCGGAGCATTTTTCCAGTTTGTGCTGTGACGCATGCGCAGACCGGTGGAATGTCTGCTGACCCGCCTGCTTCGGAGTGTAGCAAAAGCAATGTGGAATATGTGGTCTCACAGCCTGATCTCCCTTCGTCTGTGTCAAGGGTGGACTGGGTGAGGAGTCAGAGGGACGGTTCATCTCTTTCTGCTCTGTGGACTGAGTTGTTGCCGGGGGAGGGGGTCGGAGACATAGCCCGGGGTTGCTTTGTTCGGGAGGGACTTCCGGGGCTCGTGTTGGCGTCCGGGGAGGTCGTTCAGGAAGGTACAGGGTTCAGCCCTAGTGATTTGGTCTTTGGGCGTGCGGTGCGTGGTCCGTTGGCTGTTCTCCGGGATGGGTTGGTTGAGAGTGAGCCACCTAAGAGATTGGTGGACTGTGTAGGTGGTTTTTGTCATCGCCTGTATGTAGCGGTGGAGATGGCAAGGAGAAATGTAGCTGGTGCTCAGGCAGATATGGAGAGACTCTATGACCGTAAAGCAGAGTGTCGTGGGTTCGGCCCGGGGGATCGGGTGTTGGCTTTGGTGCCATGGCAGGTCTCACCATTCCAAGCTAGGTCCAGGGTTGGGGTTGGCTGAGGAGTGTGACGTTAAGGCGCCAGATGAAGAGAGCCGAGTTGGCGGATGCTCTCTCTCGTGCCCCGGTGGGGTAGTAGGTCTCCTAGGCTAACTGGGAGACTGGCGGATTTTTACTTGCGTTGATGTTTTGGTACCTTTTGTTGTTGGTTCTTCACTCTGACACCACCACAAATGTTCAAAGTAAAAGCAGTGATTTCATGTTCTGGTTTTCCAATAAATTGGAAAGACAAAACCACAAGCTAAACTTATGAAGTATTGATGGTGCAAAGCAAAACAGATTTACATTCAATAATCATAACACTGTTACATTTTGCAATTTGTTGGTCCGGCTTAACAGGTTGTTCATTCGTTGTACAATTGTCAAACATTGTTACAGGGCTCTCACTGGGGTTAACTTAACACCCATGGTGACGAGGCGTGGGGTGGGGACGGTTAGCAGACCAGCAGAGGAGGAGCGGAGGGAGCGAGAGGGGGTGTCCTCCTGAAGAAGGTCAGCCAGATAGGGGGAGGCCAGGTTATGTAGGGCTTTGTAAGTAAGCAGTAGGTTTTTGAATTTGATACTGGATTGAACAGGGAGCCAATGGAGTTTGATGAGGATGGGGTTGATGTGTTCTGAGGCCTTGGTGCCGGTGATGATCCGGGCTGCAGAGTTCTGTATGATTTGTAGTTTATTGATGAGCTTGGTGGGATGAAACTGTCCCTGAGTCTGGTGGTTTTAGTCCTGATGCCGTGGTACCGCCTGCCAGACGGCAGCAGACAGAACAGTTTGTGGCTGGGGTGATGGGGGGTCTTTTGTAATCAAAAAGTTGATTGTCAAGTCCCAAAACAAACCATGCAATATATTAGACTTTAAGTACTTTGTCAGGCTTAATATTTATCTCCAGATACCCCCAAAGCGTTTTGCTAACATGTATTTAAAATACAACCTAAAGTATTATTTAATGTTTTAATAAAGCCTAATTAGTTTGTCTGTTTTGCACATCCTCCTATTAATATCTTTGTATATGCGGCACTAAATGGTTTTATCGTAGAGATCATTTACAGTATCTTCTTGATATTTTCTATTCTATATTTCTATCATTGACCTTCTACTTTCCCCCTAATTTGTATGTACTCTTAATATTTAAATGTTTTCATCAAATATAACGGCATTCAACAAAACATGCAGGAGACCTTAGGCAAGGCAAGTTTATGTAGCACCTTTCAACACAAGGCAATTCAAAGTGCTTTACAAAAATGAAAGACAAGGCAAAAAAATTGTGTATCCACCTCGCTCAGACCGCCGCCTTAATTTGCATATTCACCTTCCTCAGCTGGCAGACCTCCCACTTGAGTCAAGTTGAGTGAATCAGCATTTTCTATGTCGCTTATCCATTTTGTAACTTTGGCAAGGAATGTGATTATGTGTGTACATCTCGGCTGATACCATTTCTCATCGTCCTCTTTTCTTGCGCTCTCATCCAACATTTGCGCATATGAGACATGCAAGGCTTTAAAATCATCCGAAAGTTCGTTAAACTTCATCATATTCCCTTTGACTTCATCCAGGCGGCTGCAGTTGTTGGAGCTGCAGTTGTTGTGGCCAGAGTTGAAGGACTTGTAGTTGTGGGATTAGCTGTTGTAGGGGCTACAGTAGTGGGGGTTGCAGTTGTCGTAACTACAGTAGTGGGGGCTGTTGTGGGGGTTGCAGTTGTAGGGGCCACAGTTGTTCGATTGATTTTGCTAACTTATAACACAATTTATGAGGCGATATACCTCACCTCTAGTAAGTGGCCCAGCCCTTCGTATGTTTTTCTGTATGTGGCCCTCGGATAAAAAGGTTTGGACACCCCTGCCTTAGTATCTTCATCTTTCCATAAAAATCTATTGAGGATTCGATATAATATTATACATTGTTACGCCAAGTTCATTGTTTAACCAAGGGGCACGATTGGTCTTGAAAAGTTTAACCAATGAGGAAGTGTTTAAAACATCTGAAAAGAGTCTACGGTTTCTACAACTTTCAGAAAACATTTCATAAAATATATCCACATTGGTATTATTTATCATGTTCCTTTCATCATTTTCAGGACAGACTTTGGATATTTTTTTTCTGTGATCAAGGATGACTGCATATTTGTATTTCTAATTCAGAGATAACACATCTTGATCTTAGTGGGCACTTCACAAAACCAAACCATTAAGAAAAACGATAAAGGTTGTCGAACTGGATTCTTTGTAATGTGCCTTTTATTGCTTCTTCTTTTCTCTGCTGATTGTTCAGTTCAAACTCTACTTTTATTTGTACTTTAGTTTCTAATGTAACTTGTAACTGATTGCTATCAATACTCAAATGTGATCCACATGTTGTAAAAGAACTTTAAACTTTAATAATTTACCATGTGTTATTTTTATAAAAAGTGCTGTTGTATGATTTGTGGTAGACAAGACATAATTTCAGTTGTTCATATTGCGACTACAATGGTGAGTTGTATATCAATTATTTATTTGAATTTTTTTATATTTGACATGTCACAGCCATTATTGTACAATATTAAACAATTACAGGATGTATAGTGCACCTTTTGTGCCATTTCTGCACATCATGCTCCATTATGATATATAAAGCAGAAAGTAGTTTTCCTTGTAATCCACAGAGAGATAGTAATTAAAAGAGAAGAAAATGATGGATAACATAAAATAGCAATAACAGAGGTACTTCCATCTCTCGACACAGTGAAGCTGAGTTATTTACAAATGAAGATAATATTTCCTGTGGTATTCAATGGTTCATCAAGGTAGTAACAGTCTTCCTCTGAAAGTGCTCCTGTACGTTACATCACTTGTTGGAGAGAGTGAGAGTAATTGACCATGATTCTCGCTCTACATCACAGCCTCCTTCACTCTGACACCACCACAAATGTTCAAGTTCAAAGCAAAAGCAGTGATTTCATGTTCTGGTTATCCAATAAATTGGAAAGACAAAACCACAAGCTAAACTTATGAAGTATTGATGGTGCAAAACAGATTTACATTCAATAATCATAACACTGTGTTACATTTAGCAATTTATTGGTCCGGCTTAACAGGTCGTTCATTCGTTGTACAATTGTCAAACATTATTACAGGGCTCTCACTGGGGTTAACTTCACTTGTGTTTCGTTTAAATGTTCCCTTATGTATGCATGGTTAAAAAGAGTCATTAGTTTAGTTTCCTGGTTACCTGGCTCCTTTAATTTCACAGCATGATAAATTAACACCTCTTTAAAACATCTTTGACAGTTTGTAGGTTTGAGCTTCCTGTTGTACTGTGCAATTAATGTGACACTTAGGCCTAAAACACTACCTCATCTTTCACATTCTGGGAAATACTGCACACACAAGATGTTTTGGTTAAAAGGGAAAATCGTTCTTTTAAAAAAAAAAGATTTTAGTTGGACAAAAAGCTGCTATATAAACACAAGAGGGTTGTGAACCTTAAACTTAAGTGTTGTCATTGATTAAAAACACCTTCTCTTGCACCTTAAGAGCGATCCAGATATTTCTGTTGATTTCTTGTTATTGGTTGTAGACCACTTCAACATATTGGAGTATAATGACATACGATGTGTTGTGCCCAAACTGAAAGCAATACACATATCAAAGACACTTTCCTGATATGATGAAATGGTTGAGGGGAATGCCCCTTCACATTGTTTATAAACAATACCAGCAGCCCAACCTGAAATTGCATTTGTCAAAAATCTCCATGACGCTTCTATGGGGACACTTGAACCCTTTGTATGTTTTTCACGGTAACTGTGTGGGCTGATCCATTCGGGAGCCGGTCTCTAAAAAACTAAATGGAGAGAAAACAAAATGAACTCGAATAAATCAAAGTTATATCTAATTTCTATCATGTATTACGTTGTGTGAGGATCCTTCACATACAAGTTATCTGACATATTATGGTTTACATACCTGTTTAACAAGTTCAATGATGGTTCCATTGCTGACCTCCCCAAAGGTAGATATTCTCAGTTGTAGGTGTGCAAGTGATACCAAACCTGTATGTGAATAAACAACATAAGTAGGAAATGTGAAGGCCAATTTTATAATTATACCCTTTCATGAAAATAACATTATTGCTAATATACTCATATATTTAATATACTATTGATCCCCTTAATCATACAAATGAATTTGAACTCCCTAAAACTGTGGCTTATGGCCATTATAATGTTCTAAAATAAAAAGTGGGAGAGCTACACTTGGGGTCAAAGTGGATTTTATGATGTTTCTTTCTTAATGTGAGCTTCATTTAATGCCTTTGGCCATGCATATTCAAAACATTCTACCATTAATTCCTGCGTAATAGAAATGAAATCAAAATGTAAAAATAATAATTTGAGTCAAAACCTTGGGTTGGAGTTGGTGAGATAAGGGGAGTTGGAGGAGCTGAAGTTGTTAGAGCCACTGTTGTGGTTACTGCAGTTGTAGCAGTTGTAGGGGCCTCAGTTGTAGGGACTATAGTTGTGTGAACGGCAGTTGTAGGGGCTGCAGTTGTAGGGGATACAGTAGTGGGGGCTGCAGTTGTGGGAGATTGTGTTGTTTCTAGTGGAGTTGTTGTGGCTGCAGTTGATGGGGCTGTAGTTGTAGAGGCTACAGTAGTGGGATGTGCAGTTGTGGGGGCGAAAGTTGAAGGAACTACCGTAGTGGGGGCTGCAGTTGTGGGAGCTTGAGTTGTAGGGGCTGCAGATGTTGGAACTACAGTAGAAGGGGCTGACGTTGTAGGGGCTGAAGTTGTGGGGGCCACAGTTGTAGGAACTATAGTAGTGGGGGCTGCAGTTGTTGGGGCCACAGTTGTCGGAACTATAGTAGTCGAAGCAGCAGTTAAAGGAGCTGCAGCAGTAGTTGTAGGGGCTGCAGTTGTAGGAACTACAGTTGTCAGACCTGTAGTTGTGGGAGCAGCTGTTGTAGGGGCGACAGTAGTAGAAACTACAGTTGTCGATGCTGCAGTTGTCGGACCTGTAGTTGTGGGGACTGCAGTTGTGGGGACTGCAGTTGTCAGGGCTGAAGTTGTGGGTGCTGCGGTTGTCTGGGCTGAAGTTGTGGGGGCTGCGGTTGTTGGGGCTGCAGTTGTCGTAGGTGAAGCAGTAGTTGTAGGTGCTATTGTTGTTTTTGTAACAGTAGAAGGGGCTGCAGTTGTAAGTGCAGCAGTAGTTGTAGGTTGCACAGTTGTCGGAGCAGCAGTAGTTGTAGGTGCTGCTGTTGTTGTAGGTGCTGCTGTTGTTGCAACAGTAGTAGGGGCTGCTGTCGTAGGTTCAGTTGTCGTAGTTGAAGCAGTAGTTGTAGGTTGCACTGTTGTCAGAGCAGCAGTAGTTGTAGGTGCTATTGTTGTTGTTGCAACAGTAGAAGGGGCTGCAGTTGTAAGTGCAGCAGTAGTTGTAGGTTGCACAGTTGTCGGAGCAGCAGTAGTTGTAGGTGCTGCTGTTGTTGTAGGTGCTGCTGTTGTTGTTGCAATAGTAGTAGGGGCTACAGTTGTAAGTGCAGCAGTAGTTGTAGGTGCTGCTGTCATTGTTGCTGCTGTTGTTGTTGCAACAGTAGTAGGGGCTGAAGTTGTAGGTGCAGCAGTAGTTGTAGGTTGGACTGTTGTCGGAGCAGCAGTAGTCGTAGGTGCTGCTGTTGTTGTTGCAACAGTAGTAGGGCCTGCAGTTGTAAGTGCAGCAGTAGTTGTAGGTTGCACCGTTGTCGGAGCAGCAGTAGTTGTAGGTGCTGCTGTTGTTGTTGTAACAGTAGTAGGGGCTGCAGTTGTAGGTGCAGCAGTAGTTGTAGGTTGCACCGTTGTCGGAGCAGCAGTAGTTGTAGGTGCCGCTGTTGTTGTTGCAATAGTAGTAGGTGCGGCTGTCGTATGTGCAGTTGTCATAGGTGCAGCAGTTGTTGTAGGTGAAGCGGTAGTTGTAGGTTGCACTGTTGTCGGAGCAGCAGTAGTTGCAGGTGCAGCAGTAGTTGTAGGTGCAGCAGTAGTTGTAGGTGCTGCTGTCGTTGTTGCAACAGTAGTAGGCGCTGCAGTTGTAAGTGCAGCAGTAGTTGTAGGTTGGACTGTTGTCGGAGCAGCAGTAGTCGTGGGTGCTGCTGTTGTTGTTGCAACAATAGTAGGGGCTGCAGTAGTAAGTGCAGCAGTAGTTGTAGGTTGCACCGTTGTCGGAGCAGCAGTAGTTGTAGGTGCTGCTGTTGTTGTTGCAACAGTAGTAGGGGCTGCAGTTGTAGGTGCAGCAGTAGTTGTAGGTTGCACCGTTGTCGGAGCAGCAGTAGTTGTAGGTGCTGCTGTTGTTGTTGCAATAGTAGTAGGTGCGGCTGTCGTATGTGCAGTTGTCGTAGGTGAAGCGGTAGTTGTAGGTTGCACTGTTGTCGGAGCAGCAGTAGTTGCAGGTGCAGCAGTAGTTGTAGGTGCAGCAGTTGTTGTAGGTGCTGCTGTCGTTGTAGGTGCTGCTGTTGTTGTTGCAACAGTAGTAGGGGCTGCAGTTGTAAGTGCAGCAGTAGTTGTAGGTTGGACTGTTGTCGGAGCAGCAGTAGTCGTGGGTGCTGCTGTTGTTGTTGCAACAGTAGTATGTGCAGCAGTTGTTGTAGGTGATGCTGTTGTTGTTGCAACAGTAGTAGGTGCTGCAGTTGTAGGTGAAGCAGTAGTTGTAGGTTGCACCGTTGTCGGAGCAGCAGTAGTTGTAGGTGCTGCTGTTGTTGTTGCAACAGTAGTAGGTGCTGCAGTTGTAGGTGAAGCAGTAGTTGTAGGTTGCACCGTTGTCGGAGCAGCAGTAGTTGTAGGTGCTGCTGTTGTTGTTCCAATAGTAGTAGGTGCGGCTGTCGTATGTGCAGTTGTCGTAGGTGAAGCGGTAGTTGTAGGTTGCACTGTTGTCGGAGCAGCAGTAGTTGTAGGTGCAGCAGTAGTTGTAGGTGCAGCAGTAGTTGTAGGTGCTGCTGTCGTTGTAGGTGCTGCTGTTGTTGTTGCAACAATAGTAGGGGCTGCAGTAGTAAGTGCAGCAGTAGTTGTAGGTTGCACCGTTGTCGGAGCAGCAGTAGTTGTAGGTGCAGCAGTAGTTGTAGGTGCAGCAGTAGTTGTAGGTGCTGCTGTCGTTGTAGGTGCTGCTGTTGTTGTTGCAACAGTAGTAGGGGCTGAAGTTGTAGGTGCAGCAGTAGTTGTAGGTTGGACTGTTGTCGGAGCAGCAGTAGTCGTGGGTGCTGCTGTTGTTGTTGTTGCAACAGTAGTAGGGTCTGCAGTTGTAGGTGCAGCAGTTGTTGTAGGTTGCACCGTTGTCGGAGCAGCAGTAGTTGTAGGTGCTGCTGTCGTTGTAGGTGCTGCTGTTGTTGTTGTAACAGTAGTAGGGGCTGCAGTTGTCAGAGCAGCAGTAGTTGTAGGTGCTGCTGTTGTTGTTGCAACAGTAGTAGGTGCTGCAGTTGTAGGTGCAGCAGTAGTTGTAGGTTGCACCGTTGTCGGAGCAGCAGTAGGTGCTGCTGTTGTTGTTGCAATAGTAGTAGGGGCTGCAGTTGTAGGTGCAGCAGTAGTTGTAGGTGCTGCTGTTGTTGTTGTAACAGTAGTAGGGGCTGCAGTTGTCGGAGCAGCAGTAGTTGTAGGTGCTGCTGTTGTTGTTGCAACAGTAGTAGGTGCTGCAGTTGTAGGTGCAGCAGTAGTTGTAGGTTGCACCGTTGTCGGAGCAGCAGTAGTTGTAGGTGCTGCTGTTGTTGTTGCAATAGTAGTAGGTGCGGCTGTCGTATGTGCAGTTGTCGTCGGAGCAGCAGTAGTTGTAGGTGCTGCTGTTGTTGTTGCAATAGTAGTAGGTGCGGCTGTCGTATGTGCAGTTGTCGTAGGTGAAGCGGTAGTTGTAGGTTGCACTGTTGTCGGAGCAGCAGTAGTTGTAGGTGCAGCAGTAGTTGTAGGTGCTGCTGTCGTTGTAGGTGCTGCTGTTGTTGTTGCAACAGTAGGAGGGGCTGCAGTTGTAAGTGCAGCAGTAGTTGTAGGTTGGACTGTTGTCGGAGCAGCAGTAGTCGTGGGTGCTGCTGTTGTTGTTGCAACAGTAGTAGGTGCTGCAGTTGTAGGTGCAGCAGTTGTTGTAGGTGATGCTGTTGTTGTTGCAACAGTAGTAGTTGCTGCAGTTGTAGGTGCAGCAGTAGTTGTAGGTTGCACCGTTGTCGGAGCAGCAGTAGTTGTAGGTGCTGCTGTTGTTGTTGCAATAGTAGTAGGTGCGGCTGTCGTATGTGCAGTTGTCGTAGGTGAAGCGGTAGTGGTAGGTTGCACTGTTGTTGGAGCAGCAGTAGTTGTAGGTGCAGCAGTAGTTGTAGGTGCAGCAGTAGTTGTAGGTGCTGCTGTCGTTGTAGGTGCTGCTGTTGTTGTTGTAACAGTAGTAGGGGCTGCAGTTGTAAGTGCAGCAGTAGTTGTAGGTTGGACTGTTGTCGGAGCAGCAGTAGTCGTGGGTGCTGCTGTTGTTGTTTCAACAGTAGTAGGGGCTGCAGTTGTAGGTGCAGCAGTTGTTGTAGGTGATGCTGTTGTTGTTGCAACAGTAGTAGTTGCTGCAGTTGTAGGTGAAGCAGTAGTTGTAGGTTGCACGGTTGTCGGAGCAGCAGTAGTTGTAGGTGCTGCTGTTGTTGTTGCAACAGTAGTAGGTGCTGCAGTTGTAGGTGCAGCAGTAGTTGTAGGTTGCACCGTTGTCGGAGCAGCAGTAGTTGTAGGTGCTGCTGTTGTTGTTGCAATAGTAGTAGGTGCGGCTGTCGTATGTGCAGTTGTCGTAGGTAAAGCGGTAGTTGTAGGTTGCACTGTTGTCGGAGCAGCAGTAGTTGTAGGTGCAGCAGTAGTTGTAGGTGCAGCAGTAGTTGTAGGTGCTGCTGTCGTTGTAGGTGCTGCTGTTGTTGTTGCAACAGTAGTAGGGGCTGCAGTTGTAAGTGCAGCAGTAGTTGTAGGTTGGACTGTTGTCGGAGCAGCAGTAGTCGTGGGTGCTGCTGTTGTTGTTGTTGTTGCAACAGTAGTAGGGGCTGCAGTTGTAGGTGCAGCAGTTGTTGTAGGTGATGCTGTTGTTGTTGCAACAGTAGTAGGTGCTGCAGTTGTAGGTGAAGCAGTAGTTGTAGGTGGCACCGTTGTCGGAGCAGCAGTAGTTGTAGGTGATGCTGTTGTTGTTGCAACAGTAGTAGGGGCTGCAGTTGTAAGAGCAGCAGTTGTTGTAGGTTGGACTGTTGTCGGAGCAGCAGTAGTCGTGGGTGCTGCTGTTGTTGTTGCAACAGTAGTAGGGGCTGCAGTTGTAGGTGCAGCAGTTGTTGTAGGTGATGCTGTTGTTGTTGCAACAGTAGTAGGTGCTGCAGTTGTAGGTGAAGCAGTAGTTGTAGGTGGCACCGTTGTCGGAGCAGCAGTAGTTGTAGGTGATGCTGTTGTTGCAATAGTAGTAGGTGCGGCTGTCGTATGTGCAGTTGTCGTAGGTGAAGCGGTAGTTGTAGGTTGCACTGTTGTCGGAGCAGCAGTAGTTGTAGGTGCAGCAGTAGTTTGTAGGGACAGCAGTAGTTGTAGGGACAGCAGTAGTTGTAGGGACAGCAGTAGTTGTAGGTGCTGCTGTTGTTGTAGGTGCTGCTGTTGTTGTTGCAACAATAGTAGGGGCTGCAGTAGTAAGTGCAGCAGTAGTTGTAGGTTGCACCGTTGTCGGAGCAGCAGTAGTTGTAGGTGCTGCTGTTGTTGTTGCAACAGTAGTAGGGGCTGCAGTTGTAGATGCAGCAGTAGTTGTAGGTTGCACCGTTGTCGGAGCAGCAGTAGTTGTAGGTGCTGCTGTTGTTGTTGCAATAGTAGTAGGGGCTGCAGTTGTAAGTGCAGCAGTAGTTGTAGGTTGGACTGTTGTCGGAGCAGCAGTAGTCGTGGGTGCTGCTGTTGTTGTTGCAACAGTAGTAGGGGCTGCAGTTGTAGGTGCAGCAGTAGTTGTAGGTGCTGCTGTTGTTGTTGCAACAGTAGTAGGGGCTGCAGTTGTAGGTGCAGCAGTAGTTGTAGGTTGCACCGTTGTCGGAGCAGCAGTAGTTGTAGGTGCTGCTGTTGTTGTTGCAATAGTAGTAGGTGCGGCTGTCGTATGTGCAGTTGTCGTAGGTGAAGCGGTAGTTGTAGGTTGCACTGTTGTCGGAGCATCAGTAGTTGTAGGTGCAGCAGTAGTTGTAGGTGCAGCAGTAGTTGTAGGTGCTGCTGTCGTTGTAGGTGCTGCTGTTGTTGTTGCAACAGTAGTAGGGGCTGCAGTTGTAAGTGCAGCAGTAGTTGTAGGTTGGACTGTTGTCGGAGCAGCAGTAGTCGTGGGTGCTGCTGTTGTTGTTGCAACAGTAGTAGGGGCTGCAGTTGTAGGTGCAGCAGTAGTTGTAGGTGATGCTGTTGTTGTTGCAACAGTAGTAGGTGCTGCAGTTGTAGGTGAAGCAGTAGTTGTAGGTTGCACCGTTGTCGGAGCAGCAGTAGTTGTAGGTGCTGCTGTTGTTATCGCAACAGTAGTAGGGGCTGCAGTTGTAGGTGCAGCAGTAGTTGTAGGTGCTGCTGTCGTTGTAGGTGCTGCTGTTGTTGTTGCAACAGTAGTAGGGGCTGCAGTTGTAAGTGCAGCAGTAGTTGTAGTTTGGACTGTTGTCGGAGCAGCAGTAGTCGTGGGTGCTGCTGTTGTTGTTGCAACAGTAGTAGGGGCTGCAGTTGTAGGTGAAGCAGTAGTTGTAGGTTGCACCGTTGTCGGAGCAGCAGTAGTTGTAGGTGCTGCTGTTGTTGTTGCAACAGTAGTATGTGCAGCAGTTGTTGTAGGTGATGCTGTTGTTGTTGCAACAGTAGTAGGTGCTGCAGTTGTAGGTGAAGCAGTAGTTGTAGGTTGCACCGTTGTCGGAGCAGCAGTAGTTGTAGGTGCTGCTGTTGTTGTTGCAACAGTAGTAGGTGCTGCAGTTGTAGGTGCAGCAGTAGTTGTAGGTTGCACCGTTGTCGGAGCAGCAGTAGTTGTAGGTGCTGCTGTTGTTGTTGCAATAGTAGTAGGTGCGGCTGTCGTATGTGCAGTTGTCGTAGGTAAAGCGGTAGTTGTAGGTTGCACTGTTGTCGGAGCAGCAGTAGTTGTAGGTGCAGCAGTAGTTGTAGGTGCAGCAGTAGTTGTAGGTGCTGCTGTCGTTGTAGGTGCTGCTGTTGTTGTTGCAACAGTAGTAGGGGCTGCAGTTGTAAGTGCAGCAGTAGTTGTAGGTTGGACTGTTGTCGGAGCAGCAGTAGTCGTGGGTGCTGCTGTTGTTGTTGTTGTTGCAACAGTAGTAGGGGCTGCAGTTGTAGGTGCAGCAGTTGTTGTAGGTGATGCTGTTGTTGTTGCAACAGTAGTAGGTGCTGCAGTTGTAGGTGAAGCAGTAGTTGTAGGTGGCACCGTTGTCGGAGCAGCAGTAGTTGTAGGTGATGCTGTTGTTGTTGCAACAGTAGTAGGGGCTGCAGTTGTAAGAGCAGCAGTTGTTGTAGGTTGGACTGTTGTCGGAGCAGCAGTAGTCGTGGGTGCTGCTGTTGTTGTTGCAACAGTAGTAGGGGCTGCAGTTGTAGGTGCAGCAGTTGTTGTAGGTGATGCTGTTGTTGTTGCAACAGTAGTAGGTGCTGCAGTTGTAGGTGAAGCAGTAGTTGTAGGTGGCACCGTTGTCGGAGCAGCAGTAGTTGTAGGTGATGCTGTTGTTGCAATAGTAGTAGGTGCGGCTGTCGTATGTGCAGTTGTCGTAGGTGAAGCGGTAGTTGTAGGTTGCACTGTTGTCGGAGCAGCAGTAGTTGTAGGTGCAGCAGTAGTTGTAGGGACAGCAGTAGTTGTAGGGACAGCAGTAGTTGTAGGGACAGCAGTAGTTGTAGGTGCTGCTGTTGTTGTAGGTGCTGCTGTTGTTGTTGCAACAATAGTAGGGGCTGCAGTAGTAAGTGCAGCAGTAGTTGTAGGTTGCACCGTTGTCGGAGCAGCAGTAGTTGTAGGTGCTGCTGTTGTTGTTGCAACAGTAGTAGGGGCTGCAGTTGTAGATGCAGCAGTAGTTGTAGGTTGCACCGTTGTCGGAGCAGCAGTAGTTGTAGGTGCTGCTGTTGTTGTTGCAATAGTAGTAGGGGCTGCAGTTGTAAGTGCAGCAGTAGTTGTAGGTTGGACTGTTGTCGGAGCAGCAGTAGTCGTGGGTGCTGCTGTTGTTGTTGCAACAGTAGTAGGGGCTGCAGTTGTAGGTGCAGCAGTAGTTGTAGGTGCTGCTGTTGTTGTTGCAACAGTAGTAGGGGCTGCAGTTGTAGGTGCAGCAGTAGTTGTAGGTTGCACCGTTGTCGGAGCAGCAGTAGTTGTAGGTGCTGCTGTTGTTGTTGCAATAGTAGTAGGTGCGGCTGTCGTATGTGCAGTTGTCGTAGGGGAAGTGGTAGTTGTAGGTTGCACTGTTGTCGGAGCATCAGTAGTTGTAGGTGCAGCAGTAGTTGTAGGTGCAGCAGTAGTTGTAGGTGCTGCTGTCGTTGTAGGTGCTGCTGTTGTTGTTGCAACAGTAGTAGGGGCTGCAGTTGTAAGAGCAGCAGTTGTTGTAGGTTGGACTGTTGTCGGAGCAGCAGTAGTCGTGGGTGCTGCTGTTGTTGTTGCAACAGTAGTAGGGGCTGCAGTTGTAGGTGCAGCAGTTGTTGTAGGTGATGCTGTTGTTGTTGGAACAGTAGTAGGTGCTGCAGTTGTAGGTGAAGCAGTAGTTGTAGGTTGCACCGTTGTCGGAGCAGCAGTAGTTGTAGGTGCTGCTGTTGTTGTTGCAATAGTAGTAGGTGCGGCTGTCGTATGTGCAGTTGTCGTAGGTGAAGCGGTAGTTGTAGGTTGCACTGTTGTCGGAGCAGCAGTAGTTGTAGGTGCAGCAGTAGTTGTAGGTGCAGCAGTAGTTGTAGGTGCTGCTGTCGTTGTAGGTGCTGCTGTTGTTGTTGCAACAGTAGTAGGGGCTGCAGTTGTAAGTGCAGCAGTAGTTGTAGGTTGGACTGTTGTCGGAGCAGCAGTAGTCGTGGGTGCTGCTGTTGTTGTTGCAACAGTAGTAGGGGCTGCAGTTGTAGGTGCAGCAGTAGTTGTAGGTGATGCTGTTGTTGTTGCAACAGTAGTAGGTGCTGCAGTTGTAGGTGAAGCAGTAGTTGTAGGTTGCACCGTTGTCGGAGCAGCAGTAGTTGTAGGTGCTGCTGTTGTTATCGCAACAGTAGTAGGGGCTGCAGTTGTAGGTGCAGCAGTAGTTGTAGGTGCTGCTGTTGTTGTAGGTGCTGCTGTTGTTGTTGCAACAGTAGTAGGGGCTGCAGTTGTAAGTGCAGCAGTAGTTGTAGTTTGGACTGTTGTCGGAGCAGCAGTAGTCGTGGGTGCTGCTGTTGTTGTTGCAACAGTAGTAGGGGCTGCAGTTGTAGGTGAAGCAGTAGTTGTAGGTTGCACCGTTGTCGGAGCAGCAGTAGTTGTAGGTGCTGCTGTTGTTGTTGCAATAGTAGTAGGTGCTGCTGTCGTAGGTGCAGTTGTCGTAGGTGCAGCAGTTGTTGTAGGTGCTGCTGTTGTTGCAACAGTAGTAGGGGCTGCAGTTGTAGGTAAAGCAGTAGTTGTAGGTTGCACCGTTGTTGGAGCAGCAGTAGTTGTAGGTGCTGCTGTTGTTGTTGCAATAGTAGTAGGTGATGCTGTCGTAGGTGCAGTTGTCGTAGGTGCAGCAGTTGTTGTAGGTGCTGCTCTTGTTGTTGCAACAGTAGTAGGGGCTGCAGTTGTTGGTGAAGCAGTAGTTGTAGGTTGCACCGTTGTCGGAGCAGCAGTAGTTGTAGGTGCTGCTGTTGTTGTTGCAATAGTAGTAGGTGCTGCTGTCGTAGGTGCAGTTGTCGTAGGTGCAGCAGTTGTTGTAGGTGCTGCTGTTGTTGTTGCAACAGTAGTAGGGGCTGCAGTTGTAGGTAAAGCAGTAGTTGTAGGTTGCACCGTTGTTGGAGCAGCAGTAGTTGTAGGTGCTGCTGTTGTTGTTGCAATAGTAGTAGGTGTCGCTGTCATAGGTGCACTTGTCGTAGGTGAAGCAGTAGTTGTAGGTTGCACCGTTGTCGGAGCAGCAGTAGTTGTAGGTGATGCTGTTGTTGTTGCAACAGTAGTAGGTGCTGCAGTTGTAGGTGAAGCAGTAGTTGTAGGTTGCACCGTTGTCGGAGCAGCAGTAATTGTAGGTGATGCTGTTGTTGTAACAGTAGTAGGTGCTGCAGTTGTAGGTGAAACAGTAGTTGTAGGTTGTACCGCTGTCGGAGTAGCAGTAGTTGTAGGTGCTGCTGTTGTTATCGCAACAGTAGTAGGTGCTGCTGTCGTAGGTGCAGTTGTCGTAGGTGAAGCAGTAGTTGTAGGTTGCACCGTTGTCTGAGCAGCAGCAGTAGTTGTAGGTGCTGCAGTTGTTGTTGCAACAGTAGTAGGGGCTGAAGTTGTAGGTGCAGCAGTAGTTGTAGGTGCTGCAGTTGTTGTTGCAACAGTAGTAGGTGCTGCAGTTGTAGGTGAAGCAGTAGTTGTAGGTTGCACCGTTGTCGGAGCAGCAGTAGTTGTAGGTGCTGCTGTTGTTGTTGCAATAGTAGTAGGTGCTGCTGTCGTAGGTGCAGTTGTCGTAGGTGAAGCGGTAGTTGTAGGTGCTGCTGTTGTTGTTGCAACAGTAGTAGGGGCTGCAGTTGTAGGTAAAGTAGTAGTTGTAGGTTGCACCGTTGTCGGAGCAGCAGTAGTTGTAGGTGATGCTGTTGTTGTTGCAACAGTAGTAGGTGCTGCAGTTGTAGGTGAAGCAGTAGTTGTAGGTGATGCTGTTGTTGTTGCAACAGTTGTAGGTGCTGCAGCAGTAGTTGTAGGTGCTGCTGTTGTTGTTGCAATA